AGATTGCAGGTTTTCAGTCCAAATGATGAAGATGTCATTGATATATCTTAAGTATAGCAAGAGTTTGATGGTGCAGTTCTTGAGGAAGTCTTCTTCCAGGTGGCTCATAAAAGGTTGGCATACTGTGGGGCATTTTGGTGCCCATAGCTGTTCCCATCGTCTGGAGGAAGTGTTGATTTTTAAAAGTGAAATTGGTCCTGGGGCCTGTACTGTTTAACATCTTTATCAGCGATCTGGATGTAGGTGTGGAATACACACTGTCCAAATCTGCTGATGATACCAAGGTGTGGGGCGGGGTGGGCATGCTGGAGGGGAGGGACAGAATCCAGCTAGATCTAGACAAATTACAGAAGCGGGCAGATGAGAATAGGATGGAATTCAATGCAGACAAGTGTAAGGTTCTGCATCTAGGGAGGAGAAACCAGGGACACACCTAGTTGGCCACTCCAACACTTTCACCAGAAAGTTGTCCCCAACACTCGCCAAAAACTTCCTGGATTGCCCGTGCACTGCTGTGTTGCACTCCAAGCTGATGCCAGGGTGATGGAAGTCCCCCATGAGAACTAGGCTTTAGCATTGGAAAACTTGCACTACATGGTGATTCATGATTCTCGAAGAGATGGACATTGGATTCTAATGGCTCCAGGACTAATGATAGCACCACTTTTCATGACTTTTGTATTAGTTGTATTTTTTGACATAATATATACTCAAGAAAATTAATGCACCTTCCAATAAAGTCCTCTTCTGTCTTTTCTTCTGTTTGAAGCTGAATAACACAGCTCCAGGCCTCTCGCATCTCAGGAAATGTTTTCATTTTTTTTTGGACTGGAGAAAAAAATGTGTGTTGTGTTTTATTTGAGGGGGTAGCACACTGTTTTCCCTGTGCACCACTTGCCAACAGCCTAGATCCGCTCACAGCCTGGCTTCAACCCGTGATACCTTTTTCCAACCAGCTTTCTATGGGGGTGTGTGTGTGTGTGTGTGTGTGTGTGTGTGTGTCCGGGAGACTGAGGCACTGAGATTGGATGATAATATGTGTTTGGCCCCGCCCAGGGAGAAAGAGAAAGAACTTCATGTCTGTGCGATACCAAAAGCTGTTGCAGTGTTATATGGAGCTGACATATGCTGGAGGATCTCGGTGAGTTGTTGGGCAAGGGGTGAATAGGAGGGATCCGGGCATCTGACTCCAAGTAAGGTGGCCAGGGGGCTCCCTGTAGCTCATGGATACCTCCAGTCCTCCCACCCATGACCCCTTGAGCCACCCTCTCCATTTGTGTGCCCGCAGCTCCCTCGGCCCCCAGGGTACAAAGCCAATGGTTCCTAGTTTCCCATCCTAGAAGGGGACATGGTAGCTGGGGCAGAATGAGTCACTTCCTATAGACCCCTGGGCTCCCACCCTGCAGTATTTGTGGTCCCATAGGCTACCTCTCGCTACAAAGGGGGAGAGGTCCTTTGCTCTCCATCCAGGGGAGTTCTCTTTTCCCCAGGTTTGGTCCAGCCTCAGGGTGGATGAGTTACTTTGGGATTCATGAACACCAGGAAGAGGGCAGGACACCATGCCTTGGTGGTTGGTGCCCAAGGAAGACTCAAGGAGACCCCCTCAAGTTAATTCTCCTCACTCCCCGTCCGGCACCTTCCCCCCACCCCCATTGCGGGGAGTGACGTAGCAGCTGCCTCAGGAGGATTTGCGAACTGGAAATGACTCAGCGCCTTCATTGAACATCGAAGAGCTGCAGCCGCCGGCATCTCTCGGACTGCGGCTGCTGCAGCTGTTCAGTTCCAACCAGCAGCCCCCACTGCATCAGATCTGGGCACTCCCCCCAGCCCTGCTGGTGGCCCTCATTCCCAACCTGCAACCCTGGCACATCCACCCTGCTTGTGCCCCCCAATTGTGACCCACAGCCCCATGCTGGTGCCCCTCACTCAAAACCAGTCTCCTGCCCCATCCAGCCCTGCCAGTGACCCTTAATCCAGACCCTTGGCCACTTACCCCTCCCACCCATGAGTTCTGTTCACTCCCAACTCACAGGCCCCTGCTCTACACCCCCAGGTCTCTCTTTTTCCATGGCTGGGGCCCATACAGGGCTGGGGTTAGGGACAGTGTTTTATAGGGCCAGAGGTGGTGGAGACTTATCCTTAGGTTGGACAGAAGGAGACTGGATAGGGCTATACAGGGCAGGCACTTCCAGGTGGGAGCTATGCTGAGGGGGTATTGAGCCTCCACCCATCCATGCCCATGCACTCCTCTCCCCCATCTGGCCCTTTTCTGCATCCATACTCAAGGCTACATTCTTCCTTCCACCCCCTCCTGCAGCCTGTGCCCATTCTTCCTTTCAGTCCTATGATCTCTTCTCTGCCTGTCCACCGTCAAGTACCACATGCATACCCTGGCACACATGCTTCTCCAACTCGCCTTCCCTCCAACACACCAACCCTCCATCTCAAGCCTCACATCCTCAGACATATGCTATTGTGTCCCTTCTATTGAGTCCCAGCTCCCCCATTCCTCTCTCCTGACATGCTGGTCTCCTCAGTCATCCCCTCCCCCCCACATCCATCCATTCAAACTATCATGTTTCCCTCCCCACACATGCTATCCATCTCCACAATCTTCTCTTCGCCATACATCCTCCCTCAATTACAGTCAACGCTCCACTTAAGGCTCTCCCTCTCTCTCCACATTCAAACACCCCCTCATCAGCCCCCTTCCTATGTACATGCCTCCCTCCATCCTTAAGAGCCTTCACAGCCTTCCTCTTCCATCTTTTCTAGTTTCTCACGTCACTCGGAGCAAACACTGCAGTCAACAGAATCTTCTCGCTCACAAACATGGGTGATGGGGACCACCTGCAGGCTATTCCTCGCCATTTAGAATTGTCATCGCCACCCATGCCATTATCTGTCACAAACCTCCTGAATGAACGCAACCGACTGGGGGCCAGTGGAGAGCTGGACAATGCAACTCGGCGGTGTTTCAATCATGCCATGCAGCTCCTGAATGTCCAGTCCAACAGAATACAGGACAATACCACGCTGGTGCTTGACTATGGCATGGTCTCTGAAAAGAGGTTTGTGTCTGGGACTGGAGAAAATGAGATTGTTGTGTACTGTGGTGATGATGGCATGATCTGTCACACCATCAAAGTGGTGGGATGGAGAAGCTGGCTTGCTCAACAGCTTTCCAAGGCCTCACCAGCAATATTAGCTGTGATTCTGAATGCCTTACAGTTATGGGTGCAGCGCTCCCAAGGGGGTTACTTTTTTTTACCTGAGTGATGGAGGAGTTGCCTCTCATTTCCAGTTCCCACACCCAGCTGCTCGTACACAGAGCTATCTCATCCCCTCAATAAACAGTATAAACTAACTCTCAACCTGCTTCCTTTGTTGGGATGAGGTTCTGATATGTCACCTGTGTACTCTTCCCTCATATTTAGTCATCTACATTGTTTGAGTGAAATTAAGCATGCGCATTATACAGAACGGAGAAGGTTCTAGAAGATCATGAACGCCTCACCTTTATGAGGTAATGCCCTAATTTTCATGGGTGAGTATGTGTGGTTGGTGTCTCAGACATGGTGGGAAAGTTTGACGTGCTTGGCAAATAGTGGTTGCGTGACTTCTGAGGTACTTGAGATTTTGGTTGGTAGGCATGAGTATGAGTGTCAACTTTGTATCAGAAGGAATGACTGATGGGTATGTCTGGAAGATGATTGATCATTTCAAATGGGGTGATCTGCCCTTTAAAAAGCCTAACTGACCAGAGTTTGCGGCTCTTCGCCATCAGGGAGTTGTGTGCAGAGAGAGGAGTCTCCGTTGTTGTAGTCTCTGTGAAGGGAGTGGTCCAGCAGAGCGGTCTCTGTGACTGAAGCTTGTTTGTCATGGGCATTCAGCTTTTCATCTTCCCTTGGTCCATCATCATCAGTTATTGTGGTCATCTGTCCCTAGATCCCTAACTAGGCCGGAGTAATTGAAGAACACACTTACCTGAGACAGAGGAGCGCCAAGGAATTGGGTAAAGTATCACCTTCCCATGTGTAAGTGTGGGACAAGCTTGGGTGTTGCTAGTTGTGGGAGAAGTCCTGGGAGCAGTAGGGGTGTCTGTGTGGTTATGTTGGGAGGTGAAAATCTGTTCTTGCACATATTTGCATATAAATGCTATTATCTGTGTATAACCTTGCTAATAGTTGTACTAAATGTTGAACCATTTGTATGCTGTTCTGTGCTGATGTGTTTGATATTTGGTGTGATACCATATAGGTGTGTTATACTTACCATTTGAGTCTTTTGTTTTTCCGCTCTTTTTCCCAAAACCTATATATAAGGTTTGCTGGACACCCCACCTTTGTCATAAATTTGTCAAACTTCAATAGCAACACTTGTAAGTTATCCAGCCACCCTCTTCTTATCTGGCAGAGATGTAGTTATTTGGGTCCCACATTAATTAAAATCTCTCTGTTCTCCATATTTGGTTTAACCAGTCAACCAGTCATCATATTAATTGGCCTCAAACTCTGCCAGCCGGTAAGTGAAAAACTACAGTTTCCCACATTTTTCTCCTTTAAAGGAGAATCCATTTTTAAAGTTTGTTCATGACCCTTTCATATATTCTTATGACCCACTTTTGGGTCATGACCCATGGCTTGAGAATTTATGCTCTACAGGGTCCCAGACCCAGGCTGACAGCCTTCCCAGGAGACTTTTCTAGGAAAAACATGATTCTGTTCAATACTAGAGGAGGCCCAAGTTAAAATGTGGGGAAAGACATCAAATAGATGACCCACTCATCTCTAACTCGGAAGCCGCTGGATACTAGATGTAAAAGTGTCGTTAATTCCTTTTGAAGTCAGTGGAGAAGTTCAGGAGATGGTCTCGGAGTAGGAATGGGTGTGTGGGCCTTGTCAATAGCTGACTCAGGTCTGGAGGGAGGAATGTAACTGAACCTCTTCCCAGTCAGGAATAACGTAACTAAAGTCATGGCTGGCTCTTTCCAGCTTCTACCCTGATGGAGGCCAAAAGGAGTTTTCCCTGTGCATCTAGAACTGGCAACATTGCCTTATGCTTTCACTTTTATTTACTTTAGATGAAGCACTCGACAGTGGCAGTCAAAGTTGCGGAAGATACCTTTGGCCATTGTTAAAAAAGGTCCGTGACTCATCAATAAGGTTCATTAGTCATTTTCAAAAATATATCTATATTTTAAAAATATTTTAGATTTAATGTTTGGTCAAATCGACCAGCTTGGCGACCCTAATTCTTCAGACATAAAAAGCTACTATAATGGGCAGATCCAAGATGCTCACAAGGGGGTGGTGGGGATGGGCAATATGTATCATTATGTGGGACACATCAAATAGTACCTGTACCCAAATCCAAGGAGACCCTGAATTTAAGAAGACCTCCCCCAATCCTTAGATTCCAGACACAGAAAAGTTATAAAGTGGCTATTATTTTCCATATGTAGACTCTAATAACTGGAGGTTCAGTTCATCCCCTCCACTATTGCAGGCACTGTGGATTGGGGGGCGGTGGTAAGGGGGGCAGTGATGGAGCTGACAGTGGGGGGTACACTGTAGAGCAGGTGGTGGAGCAGGTAGAACAGGGAGTCAGAGACTCCTCTTAGTTTGAGGGTATCCTGACGCAGGGGGCAAACTAGGTGGCCTGAATCTGAGATGGCCGGCGCTGTAGTGGTGGTCTGATGTTGAGATATTCAGATCTGAAGGCTAGAGGGGGCGACCCCCTTGTTGCCCACACAGGGAGTCCAACTATGGGATTAGTGCTCCTAGAGGTAACCAAGAGGGGCACGAGTGCCATAGAAGCCCTACCTCAGTTGTGGACTTGACAAGAAGGGCAGTCTGAAGAAGAGGGGGCAGTGACAGTCTGCCACAGCCAAGAATGGGGAAGATGCCAGGACACCCAGAAAGGGAGCTGTGGGGCCAGGATCTGGGGACATAGATGAGGAAATAATAATGAGGCCGGGACTGTTCAGTTTAGAAAAGAGATGTGTGAGCAGCGACATGAGAAGGGCTTGCAGAATACCGAATGGCAAAGAGAATCACTTGAGATTTCTTATTTACCAATACGAGACCCATTGAGCAGGCTGTCAGTTTACATTTAACACCAGGATGTTCTTTTTCCCCCAGCACATCATGAAAGGGTGGGACTCATTGCCCCCAGAGGGTATTGAGAGTTCAGCCAGATTCAAACAGGAATTGGACACATCCTTGGAGGAAAGGGTTATCCGTTAGGGTTGTGCAAGGCTGCGGACCATACGTCGGATCTGGAGAAGCTTCGGCTGCTTCAGCATCTGAAGCAGCATGTGTGGATGAAAGCGCTGGCTTTGTCAGGCTTTCCGAAGCGGTTTGGAGCTTCCAAACCGCTTCAGAAAAGCTTTGGAGCTGCCTCGGAAATCTGGCCATAGGGTATAATGGGGAACCAGTAGAATATCTATAACTTTGTTGTTTTATGTTCACTTTGGATGAATTTTACCGAGGTGGTAGCCTCTGCAGAGCGCGTGAAGCCTGCCAAGTTTCAAGAATATCGGTGCAGGGGTTTAGGGGGAACTGCTCCCCAAATTCTTGAAAGCAAAACTCATGTCATGTCTATGCGTTACACCACAGGGGGTCAAAACTGCAGGGGTGGTGGCCCCTGGTGAGGCCACAAAACCTGACAAGTTTCAAGAAGATCGGTGCAGGAGTTTCGGGGGAACTGCACCTCAAGCTGTGGACAAGCAAAACTTGTGACATGGGTGACACTGTGTGTTAAGGCACAGCAGGGTGAAAGCTGCAGGGGTGGTGGCCCCTGCTGCGGCCATGAAGCCTGCTGGCTGTCGAGGAGATCAGTTCAGGGGGTTCTGGGTTCTGGGGCCCTGCACCCCTAGCTGCTGACAGACAGAACTTGTGACATGGGTGCTTGTGGGATTGACTGTGTCTGTCTTGGGGTGTGGTGGGGGAGACACTACTGCGGGCCTGGCTGCTAGCTGCTGTGTTACTACTTACCAATCAGTCCTGATTCACTCAGGGGCCAGCTCAATACACAGTTGCTAGCTAATGTAACCAGTTCATTACCATCAGTTAACACCTACAAAAGCAGACTAAGGAGAGGAAAGAATCAATACAGACAATCAACTGCCCCAAGACAGAGAGGGGCAGTGGCACAAGCACCCATGTCACGAGTTTTGTCTGTCAGCAGCTAGGGGTGCAGGGCCCCAGAACCCCTGCACCGATCTGCTCCACAGCTGGCAAGCATCCTGGCCGCAGCGGGGGCCACCATCCCTGCAGCTCGGCATCCTGGCCGCAGCAGGGGCCACCATCCCTGCAGCTGTCACCCTTAACACACCGTAACACACCGCAGCTTGAGGTGCAGTTCCCCCCAAACCCCTGCACCTATCTCCTTGAAACTTGGCAGGCTTTGTGGCCTCACCAGGGGCCACTACTCCTGCAATTTTCATCCTGCTACACCTTAGCACACACAGGGTCATCTATGTCATGAGTTGTGCCTGTCAGCAGCTTGAGGTGCAGTTCCCCCCAAGCCCCGGGACCAATCTTCTTCAAACATGGCACGCTTTGTGGCCTCACCGGGGACCACCACCCCTGCAGTTTTCACCCCCCTGTGGTGTAACACTTACACGTGACATGAGTTTTGCTTTCAAGAATTTGGGGCGCAGTTCCTGCCAAACCCCTGCACCGATCTTCTTGAAACCTGGCAGACTTCATGCTATCAGCAGACGCTACCATTCCTGCAAGATTCGTCCAAATCAGACAAAAAAAAATGATAGATAGTTCATTGATTCCCCATTATACCCTATGGCCAGATCTCCGAGGTGGCTCCGCAGCTTGGGAGCTGCTTTGGCCGGATCAAAGCAGAACCTGGTCCGGATCTCCGGATTGGATCCCTGGCATCTGAAGCAGCTGGATCCGAAGCCAGATCGAATAGCTGCCTACTCGCACAGGCCTAGTTTCCGTAGATGTTGAGCACAGGAATGAGGGGCATGGGCTCTGAATCAGAGCCCCCTAGGCCTGAAATGCTGGAGACTGGACATGGAAGAGGCACGGGGGACAATAACCTGGTCAGACCCAGTTCCCTCTCCCCTATAGCACCCTCTCACTGCAATGCCATGGCCTTGGAGACTGAGAAAGAGAGGCTTGTGGTCTGACCCTTTCCATGGAAGTTTTTATGCTTTGATGCGGACGTGCTCAACCTCCGACGCACAGCCCACGTGCATCCTGTGGAGCCTTGGAGTTACTCTCTGCTTGGCTGTTTAGGGCCAGGCCATGCCCTCTTCTCCATAGGGCCAGACTACACCCCCCCCAGGAAAGGCCAGACCAATCCCTCTTCCCTCTGCCCAGCCAGACTGGGACTGGGCAATGCCCTCTTCCTCCTGTAGGTTTGGGCCATGCCCCGTCCTCTGCACAAATGGAGCTGGCCAGGCTGCCCCTCCACCCTCTTCCTTGCGGCCGTAGGGGGTGCAGCAGCACCCACTCTGGGCACTGGATCGGGTGCACCGGGCAGCTCTGCCCTGCGGAGGAACCAGACACTGCCCGGGCAGCCCATCGGCCAAAAAGGTAGAGCGCCGCTGCTCAAAACGACCGCCGGCTCTGTCTGCTCGTGCTCCAGAACCGCAGTTTCACTCTCAAGACCATCGATGGCCGGGAAAGACACCCCAGGAGACTGAAGAACGGTGTCCCGCAAGGCTCGATACTTTCTCCATTGCTTTTCAACTTGTCCATTGTCGACCTGCCTGACAGCCAGGCCGAGAAGTATGGCTATGCTGACAGCCTGGCTCTGACCAAATCAAGCAAGCAATGGGAAGCCACTGAATCCACTTGGGTTTTATCCCAGGCTGGGTAGGGAGCGAGCCTGTCAGGGCTCGAGGCCTCAGAGCTGCCACTGCAGCCCCCCCCTCTCCGTTTGTCTTGCGGGTAGCCCGGCGCCATTTTGTGGTTTCCTCCCTGCTAAAATGGCGCCTGCTTGAGGGGGAGGAGGTGTCAGGGCTTCCTCATCTGTTAGCGCCGTTCTGTCCCACCTCCGTGTCACTCACAGCAGACGCGAGTCATTGCAACTCCTACAGCCCCTCCCCTCCCTCGCGGGATGCGCCCCGGTCCCAAGGGACCACCTGCCCCCAACTGTGCCCTTCCTCCACAACCTGCGCCATCAAAGGAGCCGCCCCCTCACTCCTTAACCACCCTCGGCCGTCGCCACGGCAGGAACAGTCTTGCCCCACAAAGCCCTTCCAACCACCCGTCACCGGGACAGGAACTGCCGCGCGTTTCTCAACACTGTGACAGGAAACGAGCCTCTCCTCTCTCTAACCATTGTGACAGGAAATGTCTTCCTGGGGCCCCCTAACAAGACACACTTCCCCCACCACCCTGCTGCCAACGCTGTGAGAAGATTTCCTGCGTCCCTAACTCCCGGATACAGACAACGAGGGTAGGAAGGGACCTCAGGAGGTCACATCTAGTCCAGCCCCTGGTCCAAGAAGGACCACCCCAACGACACCATCCCAGCCAAGGCTTTGTCTAGCTGGGTCTTAAAAGACCTCTGAGGATGGAGAGTCCCCCACCGCTCTGGGGAGCCTGTTCCAGGGCTTCACCACCCTCCTCATGAGAAAGTTTCCCCTAATATCTAAGCTTGCTGCACCCTGAGACCGTTGCTCTGTTATTTCCAGCCCAATGCCCCTGCAAAATGCCAGCCAGTGCTCCTGCCCCTGTTCCACCTCGCCTGGCATTCCCCGAGTCAGCCGCAGCTCCTGCCCCAGTATCCCCAGGCTGATGCCCTCCATTCCCTTTTATACTGTTGGCTCCTATTCAGCTTATTGTCCACTGCCACCATGAAAAGTACTGTCTAACTCCAGCACCATGATAGGAACCAACCCAGA